AAGCTTATATGACGTCATCTGTGTTTTTTGGCATGCGACAGTTGTTGCACTAAGAGCAAAGGGCTGAACTTGTGGAGACCCTGGACATCAGTGACTGAAATGCCCCGAGTGAATAGTGAGGCGAAAAGCGTCAGAAGCACCATTTCATGATAGCGGAGAGGGTGCAGTTACTGTATATGGTGGAAGCACCTCTCGTGAGGGTTGCACATTGCAGGTGGAGGCAACCTAGCAAATGTATAGGCCCGGAGTATGATGGAATGAAGCCAAAATGAGAGCATTTTACAGGAAATCTCAGTGACCGACCCAGTCAACAGGGAATGATGAGTCCCTCCTGAAAATTGGTATCTTTCTGAACTTCCTGATAGGCCTCCTGTGTCCGGTCGAGCGAGAAGGTGACGAGACAACCACAGGAGTTGATACAGCCTGGGTCAAAACTGGTCATCCCAGATACAGTGCTGTAGCACACCACGGTAATGAAAATCTGTGACTGAGCTGGCGTGAGGGGATAGCAGATCGAGAAGAATGCTCGTGATTTACTCCTAGATGAGGAGCACCACACTTCTAACTAAGACATCCTCTTGATGGGAGATGGAGGCAGAAAGAGCTTCTGTTGCAGACAGAATAGATGAAACGAGTGGCAAATGCGTAAGTTCTCAATTGAGACGAAAGTTCCGAGCACTGTAGGAGAGCCTTCAAAACTGCCTGAATGAATGAGTCAAACTTGCAAGAAGAATCGATGTAGGGGCACTAGATTCCGGAGTAGCCGAACTTGGAGGATCCCCACACGGAGACTTCTGTACGGAGAGAGTGGATGCAAGAATGGCCACTTCTACAATCTAAATACAGTGAAGGATGTCTATCCTCAGGGGGAGCGGACCGATGACGGTCTTCGTGATAGAAGGACAACAAACTGGAGATTGACTACAGCCTGCAGCCAAACAATTATCCGAGTAACCCGGCGGGTATGGGTAACCAGGTCAAGGATAATATGAATCCCTATGGAGAAGGTAGCCCTCCACCCCAGACTGGTCATCTGAGTGTGTCATTGTGAGTACAGTCCCAATCTCTGCAATCCAAGTGTTGATGGTGGTAATCAAGACAAGGTGAAGGATCCCTGTAATAAGACGAATCTGTACAGGCATACAAGGGTAATCAAACTGGGTAGTGGTCACCGGAGGCCGACCAGGCACTTGAGTGAGTTAGTGAGTGAGTATGGTTTTACGCCGCTTTTAGCAATATTCCTTTAACCACTAGGCTACCCAACCGCCCCACCAGGCACTCGAATCACACGGAGCATTCAAAGAGGCCCGGCGATCTGGAGACTGGAAAACTTGATCACCACCATTTGATCATTGAGCAGGGGAGCAGGAGGATCACCCCCTTCGGCAATTCCAAGTGGCTTTCTTTCCACGATCCTTAGAGGGACATTCAAGAGCATGGAATCAGAGCGGCTAACGAGCAGAGGACATGCCATCGTAGAAAGGTCAGACGAACTGACTTCCCCCAAACTGAGTCGAGAACAGAAGCAGGATCGGCCGCCACCATTGACTACATAGTCGTCGAAGAAAAGAACAAGTAGTAGACCGAACGTCTGAAGGGAGAGGAGGCTTAGGCTTCGCCGTGGGGGGTCAAGTTGTGTGAAGACATGGTCAGTCAAGAAACACGCTGAACGTAGCTTGTCCCTCCCCCCTCTCCAAAACAAATATATTTGGGTCCAAGAAAGACAAGGAGTTGGCAGAGATACACAGGTGATCAGGTGATGTAAGGTTGCCATGCAAGGGAGCATGTAATTGACCCAGTTGTTGGACAATAACCCTAGGGATGCTGAGGTGTGTTCAAATGAATGTTTATGTTTTAGAAGCAGGAAACATGGTTCAAGCACGTTTCCACAAAGGTACGGAGAAGATGAAATAATAAAGAAATATAAAAGTAGTTATAAGTTTCCAGTTTACAAAATCTTTCCACAAACAACATGCACATAGTAGCAAAAGCATAAATATAAATTTCCTGTCTTCAAGTCATCTACAACTATCAATCAGTCCTGGGCCCACTTGCACAAAGCGATCTTAGCGCTAAGATGATCGTAACTACCATACTTTAACATAGGCTTACAATAGTCTTAGTGCTAAGATCGCTTTGTGCAAGTGGGCCCTGTTCTCACATGAATCATAAGTGATCCTACCTGAGTGAGTTCTCTGTGTCGGGTAGTTTGTCACACTCAGGCAGCAGTGTGATGAGTTTGTACCGGTATGCAGCAGGCAGCATGTTGAAAGTGTCATAGTTTAGTAATGCCTGCAAAACAGAAGAATTACGATGTAATCAACCTTGTCAGGAATGTCTACTAGCCTGAATAGTGATAATAATTCCCCCCTCCAAATGTTTGAAATTCTACTAACCCTTAGGATATCTTAAACATCAACAAAACTGGTCGGGCTGTCTGGCTAGTCCTAATTTCCATCCTTGTTGTGATAAATGATTACCAGGCTGACAGGTATGTTGTCTCCACACAGACTAAAATTTCTGTCTGAAGCTTATTTCTAACTATGTTTCCACAAGCAACAACAGATGGACCAAGAAGAATTTACCATGTGTGATTATGATGTGAACAAATGTTTTTCATAAGGAAATATTTGTCAACCCACTGTCCACATATATAATTGTGATCAATTACATCCTGATGATAACTGGGCATGCTATACTCAGCAGTCAGCGACTTCAGCTACTAGTTAGAAGTCTGAGTCAAGAAAATTTCTGTTCGGTCTAGTAAACTCGGCTAAGAACAGACTATATGAATGTACTAAAACTTAAACAAAGAGCCAAGTTCAGGCTTCCAGAATTTGCACAGACTGTCTAAGGAATTTGCCTTTGGTATGCAAATTTGGGATAAATATTTTTGTTCTCCAAAATTGGTAATTTTTTAAAGTTATTATTTTAGGAGGAATTTTAACATTACATTTTAACATTGCATTCCATATATTATTAATAATGTCAAATGAAGACTTTTCCTCTTTTATGGTCTTGTAATCAGTGGAATACAAGCCATTAGCTGTGGCTATATTTACATTAAATACGACAATTTTAATTCCCAGCCTCTGAGGTCTAGATAAGCCCTGATACATTAATTGTGCCAATACCTTGAGGTTTGTGTTTACAAGGATGGAGTCTGGCGTCATGTCAATGCAGCCCTCCTTTGTCTGGGCTATCTGCGCAGCTATACTCTTCCTCTTGTTGGACCGCTTGCGTGGCTGAAAATTGATTTTAATGTTTTATTAATGGATGCAATTATTTATTCAGTAACATTGGTAAAATCCAATACATTCACTTAAACATATAACAAAATACTTAAAATCTGGAAAGTTTAGTGAACAGGAAAATACTGCGAAAACTAAGAGTAGCACTCATAACAGTTTCGTGACACAGTAATGTTTGCAGCAGGGATCCAGAAACCGGTCTGTGCACCGGACTTGTCCGGTTGTGACTGCAAAATGACTCATTGGCCAAATACCTGCCACATACTGCTACCTGATAAAGTAAATGGTGACGTGATTGGATACTGCCAAGCCACTTAGCCAATCAAATTGTTGGGTTTAGCTAAAGCACTGGAAGGGAGCTAACTCTATACCAAGTTGATAACATTCAATATGCAGTCAAGGGTGTGCCAGTGTCAATATAGGCATAATGTCCAAAATATTTACATTTTCACTCTTAATTAGCGTTTGTTTGGAGTAACAGTTATTAAAACAAATATTTAAGGTATTATCAATATTTTTTGCTCAGTGCATGACTTTGATCTATGCTTGTATGGGGAAGTAAAACATCATGATGCACTGATGTATTGTCCCACCACTTCCACATCAGATGACAGGTGACCTCACCAATAGCTATCTATCTCAGATCCCTATTGCAGTACAAGTTACAACTATCAAATAAGCACTTCTTGTTTGAATCCCTTTTCGGGTTTGATAAAACCAACATGCTCAATGCAAGACAACCTTAAAACAGTCCCAAGTCTGTAGCTACATTAATAAGGAAATCATATGCACTTCCAGTTTATGACTGTGACCCTAATATTCAGCCCAAATACATGATCTTACGACTGAAATGATGCAACATGTTTGAGAGTATTAGCCTATGACAAGAAGTAGATGTTATAAACAGACACAGTAAATACCCCCAATAAGGGAAATAAGCCCAAGATAAAGGTACCAGTCAACACATGGTAAACATGGGACCCAGATAAAGGTACCAGTCAACACATGGTAAACATGGGACCCAGATAAAGGTACCAGTCAACACATGGTAAACATGGGACCAAGATAAAGGTACCAGTCAACACATGGTAAACATGGGACATAGATAAAGGTACCAGTCAACACATGGTAAACATGGGACATAGATAAAGGTACCAGTCAACACATGGTAAACATGGGACATAGATAAAGGTACCAGTCAACACATGGTAAACATGGGACATAGATAAAGGTACCAGTCAACACATGGTAAACATGGGACATAGATAAAGGTACCAGTCAACACATGGTAAACATGGGACCCAGATAAAGGTACCAGTCAACACATGGTAAACATGGGACCAAGATAAAGGTACCAGTCAACACATGGTAAACATGGGACCCAGATAAAGGTACCAGTCAACACATGGTAAACATGGGACCAAGATAAAGGTACCAGTCAACACATGGTAAACATGGGACCAAGATAAAGGTACCAGTCAACACATGGTAAACATGGGACCAAGATAAAGGTACCAGTCAACACATGGTAAACATGGGACCAAGATAAAGGTACCAGTCAACACATGGTAAACATGGGACCAAGATAAAGGTACCAGTCAACACATGGTAAACATGGGACCAAGATAAAGGTACCAGTCAACACATGGTAAACATGGGACCAAGATTAAGGTACCAGTCAACACATGGTAAACATGGGACCAAGATAAAGGTACCAGTCAACACATGGTAAACATGGGACCCAGATAAAGGTACCAGTCAACACATGGTAAACATGGGACCCAGATAAAGGTACCAGTCAACACATGGTAAACATGGGACCAAGATAAAGGTACCAGTCAACACATGGTAAACATGGGACCAAGATAAAGGTACCAGTCAACACATGGTAAACATGGGACCAAGATAAAGGTACCAGTCAACACATGGTAAACATGGGACCAAGATAAAGGTACCAGTCAACACATGGTAAACATGGGACCAAGATTAAGGTACCAGTCAACACATGGTAAACATGGGACCAAGATAAAGGTACCAGTCAACACATGGTAAACATGGGACATAGATAAAGTTACCAGTCAACACATGGTAAACATGGGACCAAGATAAAGGTACCAGTCAACACATGGTAAACATGGGACATAGATAAAGGTACCAGTCAACACATGGTAAACATGGGACCAAGATAAAGGTACCAGTCAACACATGGTAAACATGGGACATAGATAAAGGTACCAGTCAACACATGGTAAACATGGGACATAGATAAAGGTACCAGTCAACACATGGTAAACATGGGACATAGATAAAGGTACCAGTCAACACATGGTAAACATGGGACATAGATAAAGGTACCAGTCAACACATGGTAAACATGGGACATAGATAAAGGTACCAGTCAACACATGGTAAACATGGGACATAGATAAAGGTACCAGTCAACACATGGTAAACATGGGACATAGATAAAGGTACCAGTCAACACATGGTAAACATGGGACATAGATAAAGGTACCAGTCAACACATGGTAAACATGGGACATAGATAAAGGTACCAGTCAACACATGGTAAACATAGGACCCAGATAAAGGTACCAGTCAACACATGGTAAACATGGGACATAGATAAAGGTACCAGTCAACACATGGTAAACATGGGACCAAGATAAAGGTACCAGTCAACACATGGTAAACATGGGACCCAGATAAAGGTACCAGTCAACACATGGTAAACATGGGACATAGATAAAGGTACCAGTCAACACATGGTAAACATGGGACATAGAAAAAGGTACCAGTCAACACATGGTAAACATGGGACATAGATAAAGGTACCAGTCAACACATGGTAAACATGGGACATAGATAAAGGTACCAGTCAACACATGGTAAACATGGGACCCAGATAACGGTACCAGTCAACACATGGTAAACATGGGACCAAGATAAAGGTACCAGTCAACACATGGTAAACATGGGACATAGATAAAGGTACCAGTCAACACATGGTAAACATGGGACATAGATAAATGTACCAGTCAACACATGGTAAACATGGGACATAGATAAAGGTACCAGTCAACACATGGTAAACATGGGACCAAGATAAAGGTACCAGTCAACACATGGTAAACATGGGACCCAGATAAAGGTACCAGTCAACACATGGTAAACATGGGACCCAGATAAAGGTACCAGTCAACACATGGTAAACATGGGACCCAGATAAAGGTACCAGTCAACACATGGTAAACATGGGACCAAGATTAAGGTACCAGTCAACACATGGTAAACATGGGACATAGATAAAGGTACCAGTCAACACATGGTAAACATGGGACCAAGATTAAGGTACCAGTCAACACATGGTAAACATGGGACCAAGATAAAGGTACCAGTCAACACATGGTAAACATGGGAACCAGATAAAGGTACCAGTCAACACATGGTAAACATGGGACCAAGATTAAGGTACCAGTCAACACATGGTAAACATGGGACCCAGATAAAGGTACCAGTCAACACATGGTAAACATGGGAACCAGATAAAGGTACCAGTCAACACATGGTAAACATGGGACCAAGATTAAGGTACCAGTCAACACATGGTAAACATGGGACCAAGATAAAGGTACCAGTCAACACATGGTAAACATGGGACCCAGATAAAGGTACCAGTCAACACATGGTAAACATGGGACCCAGATAAAGGTACCAGTCAACACATGGTAAACATGGGACCAAGATTAAGGTACCAGTCAACACATGGTAAACATGGGACCCAGATAAAGGTACCAGTCAACACATGGTAAACATGGGACCAAGATTAAGGTACCAGTCAACACATGGTAAACATGGGACCCAGATAAAGGTACCAGTCAACACATGGTAAACATGGGACCAAGATTAAGGTACCAGTCAACACATGGTAAACATGGGACCAAGATAAAGGTACCAGTCAACACATGGTAAACATGGGACCAAGATAAAGGTACCAGTCAACACATGGTAAACATGGGACCAAGATAAAGGTACCAGTCAACACATGGTAAACATGGGACATAGATAAAGGTACCAGTCAACACATGGTAAATATGGGACATAGATTAAGGTACCAGTCAACACATGGTAAACATGGGACCAAGATAAAGGTACCAGTCAACACATGGTAAACATGGGACATAGATAAAGGTACCAGTCAACACATGGTAAATATGGGACATAGATTAAGGTACCAGTCAACACATGGTAAACATGGGACCAAGATAAAGGTACCAGTCAACACATGGTAAACATGGGACCAAGATAAAGGTACCAGTCAACACATGGTAAACATGGGACATAGATAAAGGTACCAGTCAACACATGGTAAACATGGGAAATGGACAAATGACAGCTGAATCGTGGATTTTAACTTCTTTACTTTTTCAATGCACTGTTTTGGCATTGTGTGAAAATAGTAAGTTAATTTGTCTTCATTCATACTACAGCTACAATGCCACTGAATGATGGAAACTGGACACATTGCCATACCTTCATACTAAACTGAGTGGAGGCCAGAAGATCCCGGAGAGTCTGTGTTTTGTTTGGGGAAGCGTGACCTAGCAGGCCACCAATGGCAGAGGCTGTCTGGTTGTTGTTGACCTTTGTGGGGCCATTCTTCTCTGCCTGTTGACCCTGGCCGGACCTAGTCCCTGTGCCCCCAGTCTGGCTGCTGGATGACGATGCTGCATTGTTTAGTGTAGGTGAGAAGCTCACCTTTGCTGCAAATGACAATATTACATACATCACTGTTCACTCTGACTTTTCTGACATGGACCCTTTATGTGAAAGTTTCAAATATTCCATACAGCACAATGTTAAAATGCCCCATTGTATTTGAAAATGTGGGCCTTTTTTTCAAATTTAGGGGCTAATAGCACAAGGCACTACCTTGGCATTATCCCTGATACATATATATTAATTGGTTGTTGTACAGCAGAAAATAAAGTGTTTTATGTTTATCATATTTTGACGACCTTGATATCAGGTTTAACCATGTTAACATACTTATTACTTAAGAAAAAATGAATAAGACAAGAAATTATTCCTGTTTGATATCACGACGGAAACCTTTGTTTTTGTGCATGGTGCGCACATAACTGGGGTACTACCTAAAATGAAAACTGAACTGATGCTATTATACTGTGTAATGATTATCAGTGTTCAAAATTAAGCCTTAGACTTTGGGGGTGCCTAGAAAGATACTTAAGCAGAAATCCTAAAGACTCTTGGAGCCTCCTCCAACCAATTCTATCTAGGACACTAAGAGAAGCGATAGAAGTTAGCACTTGTCCTATAGTCCTTGCTAAACTGCCCAGTCGTTAAGGTACCATAAGGACGAGTAGAAATTTGCCATTTTGAAGTGTTTTGCTATGTTATCATTGAGAACCTCGTGGACTAAAAATGTTAGTTTCTGTTGCAGCTGACATTCATCAAAGGTCAAATAAACCTTTCAATGTAATACTTCCCCATTGGGTTAACATGGTTGTGGTGAGTGAATGAGTGATTATTGTTTAACACTTGATCAGCAAATCATGCAGCTATCCATAGCTGGTTGAAAGACGTGTAAATGTAGTCAGCAGAAAGTGTGTGTGTGTGTGTGTGTGTGTGTGTGTGTGTGTGTGTGTGTGTGTGTGTGTGTGTGTGTGTGTGTGTGTGTGTGTGTGTGTGTGTGTGTGTGTGTGTGTGTGTGTGTGGAGTGAGTGAGTGAGTGAGTGAGTGAGTGAGTGAGTGAGTGAGTGAGTGAGTGAGTGAGTGAGTGAGTGAGTGAGTGAGTATGGTTTTACGCCACTTTTAACAATATTCCAGCAATATCACGGCGGGGGACACCTGAAATGGGCTTCACACATTGTACCCATGTCCGGAATCGAACCCGGGTCGTGGGCGTGACGAGCGAACAATTAACCACTAGGCTACCCGGCCACCCCTCAGCAGAAAGAGACAGTCAGCACCTTAAATTAGGGCAAGTTGATTATCGGAAACACGTCACTTTTCTTAGGCATCATCTTTAGATCCCGATTTTGGTCTTACCTTTTTTTGTGCGAAGAGACTGCCTGATGCTCCTGCCTCCGGCTCCCACCGTGACACTTGATCCGCTTCCTGAAGTGCTGGGCTCCATTGTAGTCCATGACAAGTCTGCACGGCTCCCTTGTAACCTTGACAACTCAGGTCATACTCACGCCTGGAAAACAAAGTTAGGATATAAGAATAAAAGTCAAGGTGACGTCATAACTGTAATGATAAAATTGTAACTTCTAGGGGTCGGGATGGGATGGAGAGATGCACATACTTTTGTTTCCTCAAAAATATCATTTTCCCTAAAACCCCTAAAAATGATTCATAATCTTTTTCAGAATGTGTCCAGCATAGGACCAGCAATACCTAATAAAACTTATAACATATTACAGACATCTGACTACAAATATAGAATGCAGCACATTGATCATGATCTGGAAAAAAATGTTATTCCTAGCAGGATAAAATCAACATAGAAACTGTTTCCATAGGCGTCCTTTACAGATAAATATGCAAATATAAAATGTCAGGTAATATTTTAGTGTTCATAAGAAAACCCGTCATTGTCCTTGTCGTTTGATCAAAATAATAGTCTTAAGATACCAAAAATCTAAATCTAAAATGGGCGAAGGTGAGGTCTTTCACAAGTGTAGACAACTTCGAGGTAATACATTGAGAAGAAATTTAGCAATTTCAGTCGGGATATCAGTTCCCATACATGTGCTTGACCTATGCGGCATGGAGTCTCCTCCCCAAATAAAAACAGTTGGATATGGCTTCCCTTTGACAAAGGGCAATTACTCTACCCGACAGACCAACAGATTGCCAAAAATCACTGACAAAGTTGAAAAATTGTAGACAATTGTCTTTAAGCCCTTATGGTAGCTACATCACTGTCAAAATTTCATGTGGAATGATATTGACTGTTGTCACTGTCTGACTGATTATTCATTGACATTGTGACATAAGATTTAAATGCATACATTCCAGGACAACTTGCAATGTTTAGATACCATTTGTGAGAGAAGTTTATAGATAAAATGGTTATCACGCTTGTGTGTTTTGGGATAATAAATATCCAAGGCTCGCTAAATACAATGTTTGTTCCTAATGCAGGATACTTACCATCCCAAAACACATGAGCACACAACCTCTCTCTCTCTATATATATATATATGCTAAGGCTAAAATCTCGTGAAAGATGCTGAAAGCAATTTCAGACTGGTACTAGGCACAAAAGCCTTTGGCACAGACTACAAACATATGCAAGTCAACCACACCTTCGAATTTACTTTCCGTCTTCCTCTTAGTCTTAAATTGCTCAGTTCAAATAGGAGCATAAATATTCATGTCAGTCATGCCTGGATAATCAGATTAAAATATCATCCTGTTGAATCAACTTGAATGTGAGGTGTTTACAGCCAGCATCAGCCACAAATATTTAGCAGCCACTTGCAGTGTAAGACATAAGCATCTAAGCTACAGCAAATTGTGCATGTTCTGAGGAATACAGTGTTAAAAAATAGTGTTGTGTGAGTGTGTCATCTTCTGGAGATCCTCTTGAACACTTTACTTCATGGTTATGACAAGGACACCTTGAACTTTCATATTTAATTCACAATACTGGAAATACATGCTGAGGTGTATCTGTGTATCGCTTGGGATTTGAGATGATACTAGGGATGCAAACTGGCACTAAGCCACTTCCTGTGTCAGTTTGTCTAATGTTAAAGGTATCCTGAAAGGCTAGTACAATTTCAGCCTTTTTAGGCATTTTTCTTGTGTTGTTATCACTACCGGGGCTAGTAAGTGTTCCAAGTGAAGATAAGTTTCTGCTATTCGATTCTGATAAAGGAGCATTGACCATGTTGAATCAATACATATGTAGCACTGTTAAGCAATGTTATCTGTTTCTGGAGTTGAAACTGATCTTAATCAAGCATAATCCATCAAAAATCAATTATCATCAGAAAGAAGAAAAACAAGCTGGCTTGCAAAGGGTAATTCATTTCACACCAACATGACCAAGGGAATAATGCTGAAGTAAAAAGGGCTGGCCTATAATGACGGGCAGTTACTAATCAAGCTGAACCAGAGCATAACTGCATGACCACCGATCATAGTTAGATCATAATGACACACAATACCAGTGTTCCCCCTGGCTTTTGAAACTGTCAGTCCTTGTGGACTGGCATCTCTAAAAATTACCAGTCCTCCCTAATTTTTTCCAGTCCCAACTTTCAACAAATAAAAAAAACGTATTTGGTTTTAATTCTTAACACCATGTTCAATGCAAAGATGTCATCTCTGAAGTAACTTAGTTAGATCAATACGCCATCCACATAAACTTCAGTCACAATTTTCTCTTCTTTTTTTTTATATATTTCGAGACAAGTCACTACAAATGGATATTTAACCTAGAAATAGCCACGGGGAAACCCTGATGGTAACAGACAAGCCGACTTGAATATCAACGATGTTTTGTTCAACAACAAAGATTTATTAAGGTACTTTATTTGCCGGTCCACAGGGACTGGCAGTCACATGAATTATCGGTCCAAGCCTAATTTTACCGGTAAACGGGAACGCTGAATACGCCACAAAATGTAACTAATTGTAAGCACCCCTATCTACCTTAGACACCCCGTATTACAAGCATAGGACGCTTGGAGCTATTCTACCCTAAAATCCCCACTGTGGTGCACAGACAGTAGGTTAGGCTTAACACTGATGTGAACAGACATGGTTATATCACAGTGTGTCAGCATGGAAGTGAAACCTGAAGTAATCAGTGGATCATGGCAAGGACACGGGAAACAAATCCGCTGCATAGTGAACAGGGACATCTGTAATCATGTTTCAACTTCAGATTCTTCATATACTAAGCTTAAAATAGTTAAAACAGTGACATATCAGTGAAATATTGATACTTCATCACAGCTTAATTATCATAATTATTCATCAAATTATAAATAACTAAAATTACCAGAGGAAACAAGATGACATTCAAAACATCTTTTCTAAGACATCCAATCTCATTAACCAAATCAGATCTTTTATGCTGATACGATATATCCCTCTGCAGGATTGGTTGGTTTGTTGTTTTATGCCGCACTCAGCAATATTCCAGCTATATGACGGCGGTCTGTAAATAATCAAGTCTGGACCAGACAATCCAGTGATTGATATCATGAGCATCAATCCACACATTTGGGATCGATGACATGCATCAACCAAGTCAGCGAGCCTGACAACCCGATCCCATTAGTTGCCTCTTACGACAAGCATAGTCGCCTTTTGCGGCAGGCATGGGTTGCTGAAGACCTATTCTACCCGGATCTTCACAGGTCCCCTCTGCACGAAGATCTGAGGACATCTCAATAGGTCGTGCTAGGCATGTTAGGTGAACTATCCAATAAGCATGATCAGCCAATGATCAGCCAACACTATGATATTGTTGTGGATAGTGCATACATCCTGAAGTTTCAAAGCTCCATGGCATCTACAACCAAAAGGGAATACTATCAAGGGCATATTTGCGTTAAATAGGTTTTTTTATAGCTAAGATTGAAATTTACAAATCAAGGTGGTTAAGAAATATAGTCGAATCATTTCAGAAAGCTAACATCTGATTAATTCAAGATCCCAATCATCCTTCATTTAGACTTGAGGGGGGCACAGTTCACCCAGGATTCACCAGGTGCTTCTCTAATGAATGTGTCCTTTCGGGATGTCACGATACGACTATCCCCCAAAATGATATGAATCTCTTTACTTAATCCACTGTAAATAAGCGTGAATTTTTATATTTTACAGAGCACAAACACTGTAAAAAATAGACTTGAAACTTCCTGAATATCTGGTCTGGTATTTGAAAATAAAAATGTCTCATTTCAATTGATACAGTAATTTTCAGAAAAAAACGAGTGTCAACACCAGTTAGAAAAAGACAAGAACAGATTTTAAGTCTTAAAACTATGTACTTTGCACAATGTATATACAGTATAAGTTAATAAAGATAAAATTGATTATTAAAATGTAGGTAGGATCCATTCCTTTGCGGTTATAAATGTTCCGTGTGAAATGATAAGGGATTAAATTATGAATCAAAACAGGATTAAAATATGAATTGATACAGGTAACACTGGGTAAACATGTACCACATAACGTATCATCCGAGAATAGTATTGATGCATCGCTATATCGGTGAATCAGGACATCCCTTGTGTTCCTGGATGTTTACACAGAGAGGTATTATTTCTGTTGTCTCAAACTGTATCAAAGTAAAAGATCTGATATTAATGAGATTGTCATGATTGTAACTTATAAATGTAAGGCATCTGACAGCATTGCTGCTATCATCTTGGCAATTACATTGTTCATATAGCAGCACATTTATCACTGTTTATTCTGTACCAAATCACACCTCCTGTAACTCCAAATTTGGGAAATATAACAACCTTGTTTCTAGTGGTTGGACGATACATTGGTGCATTGGCAGATCGCGTTTTACTTCTTCTCGATACAAATTCACAAAGCATAGCCACAACTGTGATGTAGACAAGTTTGGTTTCATGATGAGTCACGTTTTATGCATTGCAGATGATAGAAGTTGTGCTTACAGGCATCACAGCGATCGTTATGTGGTGGTAGTGTGATGATGTGGGCAGCCATCTCCTACACTGGTAAAACAGACTTGGTGGGGAATTTAACGGAACAATGTTACACAGCCCTCCAGATCTCTAGATTAAAACCCAATCCAACATTTATGGGATGCACTGGATCAACGACTGTGAGCATGTCAGCAACAACCACAGAGCTTCCGACAGTTGGTACAAGCACTGCAGGCAGCGTGGATAAACATTATCCAGGCCATATTCAGGATCTGACTGCTCCCATGAGACAACGATGCCAGTCTCTTTTGGATTCTAATGGTGGCAATACAATCTATTGAGAATAGATGACCTTCACCTTGAAAATCTAATGGTCCATGCATGCCATATGGAACATGGGTCAATGACAATGATGTGTGCTAATTTTGAACAATCGATTACCATCTGTTGATTATCTATATCATCTCCAAAATATACATCTAATATCACTTTCGCGTTTCGTTTCGAGTATATATGGGTTGGTCTTATTTTTCAAGTTTCCTTTCCTTAGGTGTTTTGTGAAAAAACTTTAACATTATTTGAACAATGTAATCATTCTAACAGATCCTAAACACAGTTAAACATGCTACATGGAACATGTTTTGTTCCAAAACACCAGTGGAACAAATAAACATTAGGACCACTCAATATCCTCATTGCACACATGGCATCTGATTGAATTTATAATTAGGGTGGTGTGATTCACCTATGTACCAATACATTGTGTACTTACGCCTGATGATAAGATAACATATGCCTACCAATGTTTTAATTCATGTTCTAATTCTGAATTGAGTAACCGGGCCTGACAACAATTTCGGCTAGTGTTTTCTTACCGCCTGTCACATAAGACAATATTGAATCATAATTCCAGAGCTACCATTAGAACTAGTCTGAATTTACCAGCCATACAAATTACCCGGTTAAGAGAAACTGATTGAAACTTGTCAGTCGGGCCACAAGGAAAAAAATCAAGCAAAACAAGCATCACAATTCATATTGTATCATGACACAAGAATACTACACTGATACGCATAACTGACACCTCTCCCAAATGACAATTAGACCTGGTTACGATATACTGGTCAGGACACCAAATTCTATTTTCTTGTATTTTTGACAGCATTGAATCGTTACAACACAATCGTGACAATACAGACATGTGATTCTGAAACTCAGTTGATAATCTTATCCCTTAGTTTTTTCGCAGATCGACCATGTTGACATTTGCTTGTATCATGTGCATGAAGAAATTTTATTTTTGTGGTTTAGTTTCAAATTCGTAACAAATACGACTAACTCTGGTTAGTTAGCAGCTATGGGCATAATGATGGTAATGACGAGTGAGGTATGTGTATCACGACCACCTTATGATTTGTTATTATGACTAGACAATGCTAAACATGCATGTTCCTCAAGTTTTTGAACTTTCCAAAGGTCACAGACACCTGCTTATTTAATTTACTTTGACAGCGAAACAATACGCTCAATTGATTCATTTTTTGTGTGGATACCTATATGATACCATTTAATGTCCAGAACAAAGGTTTCAGTTATATGCAACTTTTATGAAAAGCTCAGAACTTATCAACATGATCAGTCAACCCTTGTACATAATCATGATAATGAGGAGAGTTGTAAAATCTAGTATGAGGGGCAAGTTGTTTATTGGCTTCCCATGCAAAAAATGTAACACTAAAGTAAAATTAATACATTCTTTTGTAATTTATACCATGTCATACTACATACTAAGAAACATAATATCTGTACATCTGGACATTGAAATGCCAGCTGTCATCCATGTCACCTGGTCATTTGATAATATATTCTGCATGAAACATGAAATAAAATAGAGTATGAAGGGTAGACATGGTAGAGGTGATATACATTGTACGCTACTTAGGCATGTCAACTGGTATTATTGTTAATCCTCATTTATTTCACTTGCTCCAATTTGCACATTGTTTGAAGCACTATGACTAAAAGCCATCACCATGTAAACATTCTAGCTGCAAAAGTGTGAAAAACATGCATCATCTAGATAGCTACACGCAGCAACAGCACCATCAACAGTGACAAAGTGGTTAACTTCTATGTAGGATATTAATATCAATGAGTATGATATTCATGAAAAGCCCAGACAAAACAATTTTCATCTGGAGCTGGCAAAGTCACAAACCTACGGTATGTTTTGGCAATAATTTAAGACTAAAAATCTTTTCGAGTTGACAAATGTTTAGTTGGAAAACGCAATCAAAATGCAAAATGAAATGCACATCAGCTGCAGAATGCTATCGGGTATTGATCAGGTGAACCGTTGTTTAATCATTTCTGAAGACGCATTTCGATCGATATGCCGACAAAGACAAAATATAATACGTAACGGCAAATTGCGGCATTTTTTCTGCCACTTAGAAAGTTTTAATACAGCGATTCTTGATAATATTGGCGGAAACTGTTGCATGAAAAACGTTGCAATTTGGGCCTTGCGTGTGTGTAAATAAATGCAAAAATCCGGCTATAAAACTCACAGTTGTGGCAATCAGAGAGTTAATCTTGTTTCTTTGAAAACTATTTTTTCAGTATTTATCCGTTATAGCTGGAAATGCTTGATAGATTCCACAATACAGGACAAAACTTTGTTGTTTATCTGCTTAGAAGTTGTGTGATCGCCGCCATTTTCCTAGGTCAAACAATCGCTTGCATTCGTTAAAACCCGGCTATCTCCGTTTCTTTTTTTCTTCTCGGTATTTTCCGGACATTATACTCGTGAGGTTACGGACGTATCCGGTAAATTCCGCCCGTAGTGACAAACTGGGCGTCAAAATGGCGGCCGAGGAGGTAAAAATATCAACATTGTGTGTTTATAGTTGATCGTAGAAACATAATCTTATCTGTTGCATTTTTTTAAAGAGTTCATGTGTTTTAATTGAAAGCTTTTAATTGTGTGATGTGTTTTAATTTACAAACACTGTTCTATCCCGAAATGTTCACAGCGATGTTTTGAAGTTACAGGCCTAATCCATGTTCACATGTAGTTTCGTGTCAATGTCGTGAAACATTACATACTTGGTGTATATCCTAGAGACTAGGGACAAGTTTACTGGTTTCGTTACGAGTTCTCTGTATATTGACTGATTGTCATCCAAGCTGTCCTGAAGATATATTTTCTAATTTGGTAATGATATGGAAGTATGTATTTTAATAAAATATATTATAAAGTTTCATTAGTTTTGATGATTGAAAATAACATGTTTTTAACTTATGAAAGCTTCCATTACAACGACTTGTGTCGGGTGCAAGACCCCCAAATCCCCAGTTAAACTTAGAAACTGATACTATGGAAGGAGCTCCCATACACCCCTTGACAAAATTATGCTGAAGGTTTCGTTACCCCAAGTACGTTTCAGTATACAGAAATGTACCCTAGTCGAAGTCAGAATACAGAAATAGTACCTGGTACACTAAACAGAGGACAAGTAAATTATTCCTCAACCCGAAACCAAAACTGGTTCATGTTGTAGTTCCGGTTCAACTGATTTCCAGTGAATTGGGATCCAGAAACTGAAGAAAATCTTCTATGTTCAAAGTAAAGGAACTGTTTTAGCACACTACGCAATGCGGAATGGATTCATCGTTGGGTACCATTCTGTATTCTGATATTGGCTAAGGTACATTTCTGTATGCCTCTGGTGTCATGGTCGACACACTTATTTGCTATTACAGTAATTCCACTGCATGGTAAATTAACTCAATTATTTTATTCTGTGTGTAATTGTGTGTAGTATTACCTTATTTCAACCCTGATTTTGAGATACTCACCTCCGTTACACTTGCTCAACTCTGTTACACAATGATTTGTAACAGAATTGAATTTTTAATATCTGTTTTACCACATGGTAAATAGAATGGAAAAAGATCCTAACTTGTCCATGAACTTTTATTTGTGATTATAAGCGTCAGTATTTTGAAAAAACAAAAATAAATTGGTGCTGTACTTTCTTTAGTACATAGGTAACAGTGTTGACTAAGAACAAACATTTACTTCTGACCATTGACATCAAGATTGATCTGGATGTTTCCCTTAAAAAGGTCATTCCAGCCCTTGATTATGGTTGAAAAGTCTTGGCACTTCATCTTTGGAAGAAAGTTGACACATTACTCACTTTTGACCAGGTTGAATCAAAACAAACAAATCTTGTAATGGAGTTGATTATGTCAATGGGACAACATGAATCTGCTATTTTTTCATCTATTTTATTCTTCTGATGTGTTAACCAAATGCTTTTATAATGGCTGATGAGTATTATTTTGTTCAAATATAGTTTAAAATACCTTATCTTAAAACAAGACTTTCAGCATGTTCAGAGATAATGTTATGTGACAGCTGATTTTTACATTTATTAAAGTTTAAATTACCTAAACAGAAGGTAGAACTTGAATCAGACTAAAAGAAATATGACAAATATGCTCTTCCAGGTACAATTAAGTCCACAAAATCTGATGTTATTTATTTCTCTAAGACCAAGTTTCTTAACTGAAAAGTAGGGACAGACATATTGATATTAATAATTTTGGGATCACATTGAGATTTTCACCCATCTGCGCTAACAGTGACCACTTCAGCCAACATTATTATTATATTACGCGGTTTATTTGTTCCCCGACAAGCATCTTCCCGAGGCAAGGGAGTTAACTGACTTTAAAAAGTCCAGTTTCCACCCTTGCGGAACTAGGCTGGAATTCCTGGCTCGATTGTAGCGCCACCAGTGGCTATTACGAGCTATGTTCCTTCTATGCCTCTCCTAAGGACCAATCAGATTCCACCTCTCGCATCACTTGCATTTGTTTCAAACAAAACGGTGGCGCCCTGTCAAGACGATCTGATCGATAATCAAAATCTATATTGTGATAAAACGAGTCTTACATCGCGAAGTGCATCAAATCACGTGAGCACCTTGATTAAAAACATGAAAAGATTTAGAAATTACCTGTTGACAACGAGCTAGCGGTGCACATGCTTTGCAAATCCTGCAGTCGACCGAAATCTACATGACACTTTACGGACCGGATTTTGATTTCGGTGCACGATTTTGATTGGACTATGCATTGACTCATTAGTCCAGACAAAATCTAACTTCATAATACCAGCCTAGTTCGGCAAGGGTGGAAACTGGACTTTTATAGTCAGTTAACTCACTTGCCTCGGGAAGATGCCCGACAAGAGGATCTGTATTCATTTCATTTATCATTCTTAACTCCCTGAGGAGTATACAACTCATGCTGTCTATGGGCGCTAGAGGAATTTTACATCTACCTCACACATCGGGCAGGCCATACCCATTCCTTGCTGGGTGAACAGAGGCAGATTTGAACAAAGTCACTTGCCCAGGGGGACACCACATGTTTTGACACTTATGTATGTATGTATTCGTGTTTCCACCATCTGGTCATCTACCATCAGACGAGTGGGTTCTTTTGAGTGCATACGGTGGATGTACTGTACACGAGGGGTAGAGACCACACTAAATAACAATCAGGCTTATAAGTGGGATGTGATCGCAGGACCTGCAGCTTGCTAGCCTTGCGCTATGACTGCTACCCACTATGCCCCCGATATGGAAGAGACAAGGAAGGTATCCGGTATACTGCGGCCTAGCCATGGGTTTTGCTATGGTTGTGTTAGGAAAAAGATGGTCCTTGATGCCAAAGAAGTATAGTTTGACAGTTTATTGTTAGGGGTCAAGTGAATATTTTTTAGACTGTAACCCTCCTACAATTTATGTGAAAACCATTGCATGAATGTTACATGTACTGTTTTGTACCCCATCGTTCCAGCAGAGTCCTTTAAACTCTGTCATTAGGGATGCTATAAAGAGTCAGTACTACTTAGTACTTGGCAGTATTTGATAATACCTTAAAGATGAGTCCAACTCAAGTCCAGGATGATTTGGCAAGTCTAGATTGCAAGTCTAGACTGCCTAAACTCTGAAATGTTACGTTGTTCTGGCCTCTATTTGGATTTTTATTTTTTATTTTGTAGATATATATTTTAAAATATAACTTTAACTCTTGGACAAAATATTAGTCTCACTTACCACCAACATCTATATGAATGATTTCACTGTCTAGATTGTCAGGGTTTCACTAAAGTAACCAAATTGCTTCATCCTTGGTAGCAACCCATGCTTCCCATAAAAAGTGACCATGCTTATCATAAGAGGCGGCTGACGGGATCGGGTGGTCAGACTCTCTGACTTGGTTGATGCATGTCATTGTATCTCACCTAAGGGCAGTCAGTTAAAAGCATTTGCTCATCACGCCGAAGACCCGGGTTCAATTCCTGACATGGGTACAATGTGTGAAGCCGATTTCTGGTGTCCCCCACCGTGATATTGCTGGAATATTGCTAAAAGCGGCGCAAAACCATACTCACTCACTCACTCGTATCTCACTTGCGTGGATCGATGCTCATGATGTCAATCACTGGATTGTCTGGTCCAGACTTGATTATTTACAGACCACTGTCATATAGCTGTAATATTGCTGAGTGCGGCATTAAACAACAAACAAACATCCTTTCTGGTCATCACAAGACAATTCCTCTCTTATTTTCAGATCTCTGGTCAATGTAACATCATGTCAATGTAACAAAGTTTCCATGATGTCAACAACAAAAGTAGTTCGGTTGGAGGAGGTGAGCTACGCGGAGGGCAGCTTCTCCTCCCCAAGCAAGGCAGGAATTCTGAAGAATGAGGAATCTCCTTCAGATGGCCTGCTTGACAAAGGTGAGTTTTTAAAGCTGGTATATATGAAGAGCATTTGTAGAGGGTAGTGTGAAAACCTGGAGCAATCAATCGTCAATCTGGAATGATTGGCTAATGATTGACTGATGGTCTTCATAGTCATTGTCGTCTTGCTGGAATCATATAAAATATTATGGCAACAAAAGAAAGGCAAGATTTATGATTTGTACCTATTTCACATACTTTCATTGTCAAACCAAGATCTAAAGAAATACTGATCGCGTTTTAACTGACTTGACATTATCACATATATACCTCATGGTAAGTCAATCTAATTAAAGTCAGATCTTTTACTTCAATACAATGCCACTCTGTGTAAAGATCTGAAAACACTCCATGGGTAGTCATGCCATGTGAAGCTTCTACTGTTTTTCAGCCAATCAGCATCAATGATTCTAAGTTCTTGGTACTAGTGAGTGAATCAATGATACAAATATGTTTTAGCATGAATTTATTGCACATTAATGACAGTACTACAAGTTGCTTTGTCTCCATGTTTCAAATGGTTTGAAGTTTGAACGTATACCAAAAAACCCCATTTTCTGTATGGACTGAATGAGTAGGGTTTTACGCCGCTTTTAGCAATATTCCAGCAGTATCACGGCTGGGGACACCAGTGGCAGTAGCGGGCTTCACACATAGTACCCATGTGCGCCTTTGGTGTAATGAGCAAACGCTTTAACCACTAGGCTTCCCTACCGCCCCTTCTAAACTGAGTAATTTTCTCCTCAGATGTTGATGGCAGTCAAGAAAAGGAGGAGACAGAAGAAGCTAAAGGTAGCAAAAAGTGTTTCAGTTTTTCACATTGACCCTTGCCTTGCCCCTTGATGCTGCAGCATGTAATCTGCTGGTCAAATATCAACATGTGTTCTCCTGATGACCCTTTCATTGAGTGTTGAGCATGTTCAATATGTGTTGAATGACACTCAAATGTATGCCACAGCGTACCTGACAGGTTTTAACCAGGTAATGCACTTCCAGACGACAACATGAATCCTTCATGACGAGAATCCTTTTGTATTTGTTATAACAAAGATCGCTCAACATGACAAACTCTCGGAAATTATGTCCTGATGTCAAGTCTATGTACTATGATGTGGTGGTAGAGTTACATGAATTATTTTGTAATTGCTCTAATCACTGTGGCAATTATCCAATAATTGACTGATGACAGACACTAGTTTCATTCTTGCTAATTTATTGTGTAGAAAGATTTAACACATTGTGACCAATCCCCTGTGGGGATTCTGGGTTAAAATAGGACCCCGCCAGCCTGTCTTGTCATATGAGATACAAGATGGATTGACCCAAACATTGCTATGTTGGGATTATACAGTAATGGAACAGAAAATTTTCACAGTTCATAATCTGATCATGTCCACTAAAAACTTTAAAAACTGAGGATGTGTAGAGGTTGCTGTGATGAGGGTAGATCTTGTATGTTTTGTCTCAAAAAATAATTAACATATGCTGTCATGCAGGGAAGGTTTCCACAGTTATTGAGTTATTACAGAACCTCAGAAGAAAGTTTTGTGAAACTTTTCCTATCTCACATTATACATTTCTCCTTCATCGATCCTGGTGTGGAAACGACCTAGAAGAAAGTTTCCAGCCTTAAAGAAACACCTCACCCCAACACATCCCATTCATCACCATAGTCACCACTGTAAACCATGGGTCACCATTGCAACTTGTTGATGCCTCCCAGTTGGTCGGGGAGCGCATCTTCATGACAGGCAGACAGCAGGGCGTTGGTCAGAAGATGACCGAAAGTTGCACATAAACAATCTGGAGTTCAGAGCGGTGATTCTTGCCGTCAACCATGGGGCGGATCTTCTACAATCATCTCAAGTCATGATCCAATCAAACAATGCACCAGTGGTCTGGTACATCAACAAGATGGGATCGACCAAGTCAGCATCACTTCTCAGAACAACAATGCAGTTCTTCGACCTAGTTGACTCACTTCACATCCAGGTTCGGACAAGACACTTTCCGGGAATCCAGAATGTGATAGCAGATGCCTTATCCTGCCCAGATCATCCATCCCCGACAGAGTGGCAACTACATCGCAAGTTTTTCGTTGGATTTGCTGCCTTCATCGAACTCCAACCTCAACCTCTTCGCAACCCGTTTCAACAAACAGTTGCCATAGTTCATATCCCCAATACCAGACCAGCAGGCAATGCTCTAGCCGTCTCATGGGAAGGACTCAGACTGAAGGTACCATCATCTTCGTCTATGACCAGAACTAGTACTCCCACTTCACTCAAACCAGTTGCACCCATCACCGGACACACTTCATCTTTGTTTTTGGCACATCTCCAGAAATCTCTTATAAGTAGCCAAGGGTAATTCTCTTAAAGTGGCGCGGACTATCACTGATGCGCATCACACTTCTACTAAAGCTCTGTACGATCATATATGGAAGGCTTGAGATCACCTCTCCGACCTCGCCACCACCTGAACAAATGGCTGAATACCTTCAACACAGTACTTCAGCGCAGTACCAGGAAGCTGAAGGGTTATGCTTTAGCTATCTGTATGGCTGCTTTTAATTCCATCATTGCGACAACCAAGGCCCAAGGTCTCTACTGTTGCTGAGCTACATTCATTGATTTGCTCCACCCGGCTTGTGGATCAGTTCTCTCGTGTTGGCCTAGCAACTGACAGCAGCCGGTCACCGAGATGAGGATGCCAGCATGCTACAGTCTCACATCTCGTATCCTGTAGATACAGCAATAAATACTTAGAGCTACTTTATTGTTTATTATTATTCCATTGGGCCATTTTATACACTCATCTGTAGAGACTTAGTCTGCGTCTTAGAAGTCACTTTCCAGTGCGGCCATTTGCTTAAAAGGTATCCAAATCTTCCACCTGCTCACCTCTGTCTTTGTGAGCATGATGTCTCAGTAGTTGATTGTAGACCGGTATTAGTATTGGCAGACATTTCCTCTTCATTCTAAACGTACTCAATCTCTGCGGTTGTGGTTGATAGCTTTGACAAAGCGTCCAAAGAGATGCAAAGCTGGGCCGCCTAATGTCCAATATATTGGTTCGTATGTGTGAAGTCTGTCTTGTAGAACCTACTAGCCGAAAAGGGGGTGTTTGTAACAGAACACTCCCTCTTCGACGGGCTGAGTTGTGTGCAAAATCACGAAACACATGATTTATCTGAGGTCATGCTGTATCTGTCTTAGTATTTGTTAGTTGTTTAACGCCGCACTCAGCAATATTCCAGCTATACAACGGCGGTTTGTAAATAATCAATTCTAGACCAGACAATCCAGTGATTTACATCATGAACATCGATCCACAAAATTTGTCTTAGTAGCAAAAAGAGGGTTTTCAGATTCAGAAGCAACCCTTACACAGGTTCCTATTCAACACTAAGCTTTCTGACAATCATTGGATTTAATCATTGTTTAGTATCAGCTTCCTTGTGTATGTCTCATGGTTGAGGTCCTATTACAGGTTAGGGTATCTGCACCCCACCATCCAACCATCGGATAAATGCATATTGTAAGATAGGATAAGTTTTAAGAATTTGAAATTTTACAATAAATTGTATATTTATATACTTCTTCCTTCTCACACGCTAAACCCCCACCCAACCACCCCTACATCACAGTTACACCACTCGGTATGCTCTAGAAAGAGAATGAGGGTGCAGGGAATGTCAGGTGATCAGGTCGCAAGGGGTCACATCTCACGGGATTGCAGTGGTGTGACCCATGGTTTACAGTGGTGACTATGGTGATGTATGGGATGTGTTTGGGTGAGATGTTTTTTTTAAGCTGGAAACTTTGTTCTAGGATGTTTCCACACTAGGATTAAAGAAGAAGGGGAAATGCATAGTGTGAGATGGGATAAATATATAAATATATAATTTAATGTAAAATTTTCAAAACCCTTTCCAAGTTCGATCATCCATGTAGTTATGGAGACGTGAAACAGTTTATAGATAAAAACTATAATTTTTTAAACAACGTTTCATGTCTCCTTACCCTTTGAGTATCATGTTCTCATGTTTATCCAACATTTAAATGCCTATCAAAGAATTCAGTGCAGTTACGTTCAAGATGTATTGAGAGGTTTGTACATGAAATAAATATTTATTTTCCAACATTTCAGATAAAGTGTATCCTCTTCCTTCCAACTGGCCAAAGATACCTCAGCTTGCTCGACGTCGTAGTTGCGAGCTGACGAGGTCAACAGAGCCATGTGTGAAGAAGGCGGTGTCTCACCTAGAGCTGGTGCAGAACATTATCGATGAGTGGTTCAAGAAGGCAGAGGAGGATGTGAAGAGCAGGACGTCCAGTCGAAGAGAGTCCATAGTGTCCCTCCCAGGTCAGTCCAGAGTTGTGTCCCTTTGCTGAATCCCCCATAGGGATTCCGTGGTAAAATTGGGCTTCCAGCAGCCTATGCTGATCGTAAGAAACGACCAAATAGATCAGGTTTACAGAGCTCCAGATAAGCTTTTGGTGTTGTGGGTATTTTACCCATGTATTTTAAAATCATTGGGTATCAGTAATTCTATCTGGGTATTCACATTTCTGTTACCCACTAGTTTTTACACATGTGGGTATTTAAGTTAAATATTTAAAAACACTATTCATCTAGTCCCTGCCAACTGGTGTCGTGTGGGTTCGAGAGCTTTATAGGACTCAAAAATACCACGATACTTCCACAGGAAAGTGTGATGGCAAATGATCATGATGTTACTGTCATCGTGGAGTTTGGCAAGGTTGACGGAATGCCCGTTTATAATTTCAAAATAAGTTGCCGTTTTGCTAATCGAATACGCATGGTTACTTCACAATATTTTGATGATACGCACAATTAAAAGCGTATCTGTAATGTTCGTTTGCGTATTTGATACTCTTGGATTTTATTTTACTGCGTATTTCTGCATTTCTGATGCGTATTTTACGCACATACGCAGCTAATCTGGAGCTCTGGGTTTAGAAACTCATGACTTGTGTGTCATACCCTGATGTAAATGGACGTGGCTTATGATATCAATCACTGGTTGGTCTGACTCAGTTATTTACACTCAACCATTATGTAGCTGGAATATGGTGTGACATTAAACAACAACAAATTTAATATACATGTACAAAAGTAAATGTACCAGGGTTCCATTTTATACCCTGACCAGGAACCTCCAGTACTAGATACAATGTCTGTATCGGTTCCTGTTATGTGGTTTAATAGTGTCAGATCTTATTTTTGATATCATATTATTCCAGAAACCAGAAAACAACTGCGGTTTGTGGACGATCAGGCAGCGACAGCAAGTTCGTCAGGACACCGGTCACGCACAGTCAGTGAAGCGTCTCGGGCTTCCTCCCAACTGTCTGTCCCAGAGAACCTGTCGGTCAAGGGGGTCGGGGCAAAGGCTGAACAAGGTTTGGGGAGGATCATCTCTGATCTCAGTACCATGGCAACATGGCATCTATTACAGCAGTGATGACTAGCTTAAAGGCTTTAGATTAGCTAATTATTACTATAAGAAATACCCTGCAAGCTCTTCATGGTAAAGGAATATTCAGTGCATTTGGTTTAATAGAATTCGAAGCTTATTTAATCTTTTGATATTCCCATCAACCTCTCAAAGATACATTAAGATCAGGGTGGCGTTGTACAAAGCGATCTTAGCGCTAAGGCAATCGTTACTTCAATACCTTAACATAGGACCCGTGAAGATCCGGGCTAGAATAGGTCTTCAGTAACGGGATCGCGTGGTCAGGCTCGCTGACTTGGTTGATACATGTCATCGATCCCAAATGCGTGGATCAATGCTCATGATGTGGATCACTGGATTGTCTGGTCCAGACTCGATTATTTTACAGACTGCCGTCATATAGCTGGAATATTGCTGAGTGCGGTGTTAAACAACAAACAAACAAAAAACAAAACTTTAACATAGACTTACGACAGTCTTAGCACTTAGGTTGTTTTGTACGACACCCTGATGTTTTACTCTGACATGATAGCTCTTTGTGTAAACATCCCAGGACATCTTCAAAGGAAGGGGCATAACTCTTGTAGACCTTCTTACATACCGCCAATAATATAGTAACCTGATAACACTTGTCGTGATTGGTGACTTAATTGATCAGGTGGTCAGGCTCAGTGACTTGGTTGATTGCTAGCCATTGTACTACAGCATTAGACATTACTCATAATATCAATCACTAGTTTGTCTGGGCCAGACACAGTTGCCCTCATAATGGTGGAATATTGCTGACAGCATCATTTGAAAACAATGAAAGAAATATATTTTCTAGCTCAACTGGTGTCTATTTGGTGTTTACAGAGGCTTGTGAGGTCGAGAACCAAGGTCTGGACATTCCTTACCTTGGGGCTGAGGACGTGATTGACGAGGTCATCACTCTGCTGGCCAGGCTGGAGAATGACCGGCATGAGACTGAGGGGAAGCTGGGGCAGGAGAGGGGGAAGGTCAGTAAACTGACCACCAAGATTGATGACCTGTGTCTCCGGAGGCTGAGGGATCTGCCTGTGCTTGTTCAAAGAGGTGAGGTCAGAATCAGCCTCAGATGGCTTAGTGGAGTTGGTCTGGCTGCACTGTATTCTAATTTGGGTCACCTGCATGTTATTTTGCTGGTTGTTGTTGTCTTTCAGGACCTGTCATGGCAAGAGTTGTCTCCCATGGCTACTTTCTTAATTTGCTTTCATCTTTTGTAGGAATTAGTCCGCCTATATCTTGTGTTTGAATTTATTATGCTTTTCCCTCAATGTATTTGAAGGTCGTTTCTATACAGTAAACATGATACCGTATTGGGCGTATTAAGTGTTCTGCTCCAATAATCGCCCCTGACCAACATCTGTACCAATCTGTAAGTACTCTTTATAAGCGCCCCCACTGAGACCAAAAAGTTTTGTTTATTAATCCTAAAAAGACAGCAGGGTAGGAGGCGTATATAGTTGCCTAGTAACTATTATTAAACAAGTTTTAGATTTCATCGCCGTTTGAACTAATTTTGTTCACTACCATTCAATATCTGACAACAAATTTGACTCACTTATACTTTTAATAAGTGTCCCCATTGTAAATTTTCAAAGTGCCCAGGGCGCTTATTGTGGCAAATACAGTAATGCTTGTTGGATTGACTCTTTTGATACATGACTTTGTTGTGTGACACTTATCAGAGAGGTACACAAAGTATGTGATCTGGACTACCAGTTGTCAGACTTCTATTTCTGTAGAAGCTTCAGTGGCTGAGTTGGCTACAATCTCATTAAAATCAGATCTTAGTTCTCGCTACTGCTAAACAAAGATCTGAGGACATCCAATTACGGGTCAAGTCAGACCGACCTGGTGCGAGCTTTGACCGACCAATGGAATGACCAATCAGAAGGCAGCTTTCTCGTGCTTTACGACACAAATTTCAAATTTGAGACTACGCTTCAAAACATATTTTGACAAATTCTCGATTACAAATTTGAAACCTGAACAAAAATACATTCTCGAATGGCTAATAGATGGTATAGACTGTATGGATTCTGTCGTTTAACCCGTAACTGTCGTTCAGAATACCCCATGTTAAAGTTTTCGAGATTGCATGATTAGACTGTCACTTTCATAATCTGGTAAGCGACGCACTGATTGGTCGGATGAAAGGTTGTTGTGACGTGACCCCTAATGGGATGTCTTCAGATCTTTGTTTAGCGGTAGCGAGAACTAAGGTCTGATTTTAATGAGATTGAGTGGGCTAGATCACTGGTTTTGTGTGCTGGTGATAAGGTGCCTCACTCTGGCAGTGTGGGTTCGAATCCTAGATGGTGCTCAACCCCAAAAAGAACTAGAATTTGTACTTTACAAGTGTTATGCCAAATACAACATTCCTTGCTTCTGAGAAGTTTGTAATTTAGTAGCTATTGGAGTTTATTGGTCTCTTATTACTAATTAAAACTGTACAAAGAATGATCATTTAGTGTAAGTGTAAGATTGTATACCGTATATCGCTGTGTATAAAGCGACCCCACGTATAAGACGACCCCCCTGTACACGCTTTGGAAATCAACCCAAAATCCTATACTCCGTGTATAAAGCGACCTGGAATGAAGCACATCACAAGTGTGCACATAAACCTTATATTTGCAATGAAAATATGTTTATTTTGCTTTGTTTTTTCTACGATGATTGGGGGTGGTCGGGTAGCCTAGTGGTTAAAGCGTTCGCTCATCATGCTGAAGACCCGGGTTCGATTCCCGACGTGGGTACAATGTGTGAAGCCCATTTCTGGTGCCCCCCGCCATGATATTTCTGGAATATTGCTAAAAGCAGCGTAAAACCATACTCACTCACTCTACGATGATTGTTCGAGTGTGTAACTCCAGCACACGTCGTACATGGTTTGTGTTTACACGGTGCGACACCAAATGGGTGCCCGTAAAATAAAATTCATAAAATAACATAAGAACATATTTCAAGTTACGAGATAGTGGGACAACTGTAAAAGACGAAATTGACTATTGATAAAATCAGCAGTTTGAAGCAGGTTAGCTACAGACAAAATTTGTCTCTTTTACTATATTCCTTCTCCACTCACATCAATGTTCAGGTATTGCATGTCTCACCTGCACTCACATCTCTGTCCCCATCAGAGCATGAAGCATGTATACTCGACCTCAATGAGCTGCAGTGGCATGTTGCGTACCGAGGTCGCAATGAGGCACGCATACAGAACAGGAGAGAAATTGCAGATGTTCTCAATAACAGACTCAAGGAGGACATCGCTTTTGTAGAGAGGCATATGTAAGTGATATGTAAAATGTTCAGTCATATGTAGAATGTTCAAGTCATATATAGGTCATATGTAGAATGTTCGGAGACATATGGAAGTCATATGTAGAATGTTCAGAGTCATATGAAGAATGTTCAAGTCATATGTAGGTCATATGTAGAATGTTCGGAGACATATGGAAGTCATATGTAGAATGTTCAGAGTCATATGTAGAATGTTCAAGCCATATGTAGGTCATATGTAGAATTTTCGGAGACATATGGAGGTCATATGTAGAATGTTCAGAGTCATATGTAGAATGTTCAAGTCATGTGGGTCATATGTAGAATGTTGAGAGTCATATGTAGAATGTTCAAGTCATATGTGGGTCATATGTAGAATGTTCAGAGGCATATGGAAGTCATATGTAGAATGTTTGGAGTGATATGTAAGTCCTATGTAGAATATTCAGAGGCATATGTAAGTCATATGTAGAATGTTCTGGGGCATATGTAAGTCATATGTAGAATGTTCAGGTGCTCATTTTGCAGAGAAATATTTACGAAATATTAATTTTACTGAATAAGCTTTCTGTATTTGGTAGTGGTCTGTTTTGCAGGATGATGTTTACATTTACAATTAGCTAATCAAGTGTTTCTTCATTTCCTTATGTTTTTAAGTCAGATGTTTACAGCAATAGCTTCAGCATTATAGTCTGGAAGGTAATTTAAGGTACCGATGTTTACTACAATATCTGAAAAACTATTGGACCTACTCCAGTCAAAGTTGGTATGGGATTATTAAACAGTCATACATAACTGGATATTACATTTAAAGACAATCGGTGCATGAATAAAAAATCTGTCTATTTAGCTATCACTATATTTCATCAACAACCAGACCTGTTCGTCACGGGTGGAACGAGCATTCATTGAAACAGCCATCTGCATAATGCTATCCCTGCGTCACAGGGCCATATGACACAGTTGAACCAATCAACTCAACTCGAAAGGGTGCACGGGAATCAGGCACGCACAAATACGGTGTTAGCGTTGGGCGTCTCAACGTGCGTGATTCCAGTGCACCCTTTGGAGTACTGGAGTAGGTCCGATAGTTTTTCAGATATTGTAGTAAACGTCGGTACCTTAAATTACCTTACAGACTATAGTTGTAGTAGTAATACACTTGTTCTGTCAGGGATTGAACACAGAATCAGCAAGTGTCAATATGCGTTGTCAGTTTGGAGAGTACTCACACATAGAGACTGGAAATTGTTGTTCAATCTATTCAATATTATGAAAACTCAAAATCAAAATTACCGTATTCGACATAATAAGCGCCTAGGGTGCTCTCAAAATTAGAAATAGGGGGCTCTTAATAGAATATAATTTCGGTGAGAGAAAAAAGCAGAGTTGTTAGAACGTAAATTTCGTGGTTTGTGCTGACAGCCTGAAATGACAGGTATATTTTCCAGAATTTAATTGCCCATAATTAAGGGTGCATATAACACAAGAGTGCGTATTATACACGAATAAATAAGTCTTGTGTTCATTGATCAATCGGAAGGGGTGCTAATTGGGATTGTTCACTAGCCAATATATTAAAAAATATCGCCGTGGGCACTTATTAGAGCGGGGCGCTTTATACGTCGAATATGGTTAGTGTTGTAGCCTCATTGACAACACATTGTTGAGCTGAGTCCGTTGAGTCAGCTTGCTATAACAGTGGACTGAGGGTGTCATGAGATAGGGTTCTGTATGGATGATAGTGTGAAGTGTATATGACTGTGTCTGCAGACCCCTGGTGCAGGAGAAGCTCCTTCTGGAGATGGAAGCCATGGACAAAATCAAGAAGGCTCAGGCCGAGGTGAGATTGCATACACTATAACATCAATTACTACAATTATACCTTATCCTGATTCATAGTTATTGCTTATCTCTTCTCATCATCCCTGAAAGGTAGTGGAAACTTCCTGTGCTGTGTTCCCCAAGAACAGAAAAATATCTCCAAACGCACCCCTGCCACGGGCAGACATACTTGAGCCACGTGACCATGCTGGCTTGCTTACTGTCTGTCTCTCACTGTCTCATTTTTGAGCCAACGAACTAGTTGGGAAATTTGTTCTCTAAATTTCTATCAAAATTATCAAATGACAACACTGATCTCTCAGCCACTGAACATGCTGAAGCTGGTTCGCTGTACTTTGTGGACACAGGAAACTAGGTTATTACTGTTTACAAGCTGAAAAAGTTGGAAGTTGTTTTTGATGATAAATAGAATCTCACTCTTGTGTCTTTTGGTACTAAATACAGTGATTCATTGATATACCGCTGCCATCGGGGTCCAAGATCCTGTATATATATAGACACTCATCGATAAAGTTTAAAATTTCTCATCAAGCCTTGGAATTTTTTACATGATGTATATTTGATATCAAAAGACTCTTGGGCTGAGATTCTTTGTCTCATTCCGGGGGTAAAGGAGTGAATATATAGACCTGGGTTGCCAGTATCATTCAGTGTAAATTCTGTTGCCAATCAGAAGACCTGTGACAAGATGACCCGTTGATAAATGTGTATGAATCAACTGCCTCATGTTTCCTGTTACAGACTGACCAGGAGCTGGAGATGACCAAGCAGCGACAGGCCAAGACTGAGCAAAAGTCCGAGGAGGCGGTCAACAAGGCGGAGAATGAACGTGGACACATCAAGCGAGAGCTGGACACTGTCCGAGACAATCTTAGTCAGATAAGGTACACAATGACTTCGAACCCTTTGCTTGTAATAACGGAATAGGTATTTTCGCATAAATGGTTAACCACTTGGACAATATCTGATGTTTATGGCTCGATACACTGACAAGGATCAGTGATGACAGTGACATTCATTGGTTTTCTTGCTGCAAACTTGCAAAAGGAAGTTGTAGATTTTTGTGATTTGCAGATGCATAGCATTTTTGTATCTTTAAAGCCATGATACAATATATTAAGACTATATTTGTATCTTCTGATGTGATGCCCTGCCACGAAGTTGGTTGCAGTACACTATCTATTGAGAATCATTACAACCCTAATACATGACTATTACAAACTTCATACACAAACTTTGAGAAGGACCTCCATCATTGGGCATCTTCCCGAAGCAAGGGAGTTAAGTAACTTTGAAAGTCAAGTTTCCACCCTTGCTGAATTAGCCCCACCAGTGGTTAGTACGACTTATGTCCCTTCTATGTCCCCGCTACTGACCAATCAGATTCCACCTCTCATATCACTTGCATTTGCTTCAAACAAAATGGCGGGACCCAGTCTTGATGATCTGATCGATAATCAAGATCTGTATAGTAATAAAACGAGTCATCCCCCCTGAAGTGCATCAAATCACTTGAGCACCTTGATTAAAAACATGAAAATATATGGAAATATCTGTTGATGCCCAGCAGACGGTACACATGCTCTACAAATCCTGCATTTAAACGAAATTGGCATGGCAGTTGCCATTTTGTTTATGAACCAGATGTCGATTTAGTTACGGACTTTTGATTTGACTATGCATGAACCTTCCATCCTAGTTTGGCAAGGGTGGAAACTGGACTTTTAAAGTCAGTTAACTCCCTTCCCTTGAGAAGATGTTATTGAGGTGAACAATCTACACCAAAGAAGAATCATGTTGCTGATGATGCTAACAGTCACTTTGTCCCCTCCAGTGAGGATCTGTCGGAGGCGAAGATGACGTACAATGCATACGTCCACCAGCTGAACGACATCCGGCAGCAGCTGAAGGACAATGACCAGGAGATGAAGATCCTGGAGGTGAAGAACGAGAATGCCAAGGTGGCAGAGGAGATGCAGGCAACCAAGGTACAGTTCGTATTTCGGGGTGTCAAGGGCAGGGCCATGTTCCACTCACTGATTGTAGTGCTAAGATGATCGTAACTCCCATACTTTAACACAAACTTACGACTGTCGTAGCGCTGAGGTAGCTTTGTGGAACAGGGACGTGGCTGAATTAACAGTGCCATATGCTTCATCCAGGATCATCCAGTGTATTGTATGTCCATTCTATATGATATATTCCCTGGACCCATTGACTTCCATAGCTTTGTTTGGAAAGTGACCTTATTACAGCGTTCGAAATACATGCCTGCCCAACCGTCCGAGACGGGTTGATTTTAACTCGGGCTGCCAGATTTTCAAATCCCCCTGCCCAACGGTCGGGTTATATTTCATATGTGAAAATATTCTAAATATTTCCCGATGATAAGCATTAATTCACATGTAAAGTTGAATGATAAAATGTAACCAAAAAAATTTAGGCCCTATTTAGGAATAAGGATATTTACATGATGTATTCTAGGATATTAAATACAAATCTGACCTAAAAAGTGTTTGCTATTTCTTTTCTTGCATTACTTCATGTTCAATGAATTCGATTTAAAGTTTTAATTAATTTATCCTGAGAAACATATGATTATAGTGGGCAGGCAGGTTTTGGTCAGGGCTGGCAAGTATTTCAGCTAGCCAGTCCTGTGGTCTGGCTGAAATTTTTGGGAGTTTCATACCCTGCTTATTATCTGTTTTTCTCTTATCACTATTTTAGCACAGGAGGGTGCTTGAAGTCAACAACCAATCAAAATGTCCCTTCTGTATCTTTAAGTGGAGTTATACTTACACACAAGAAGACAAGTACTGTTGATATCACTGCTTATTTCAATTATGAAAGGACAGTGTAATTTGGTTGGACG